GTTGGAACTTGTTCTCATAACTGGGTCTCTCATTTTGACGGTTACAATTTTCGGGTATTTCGGAAATCTAAATAATTCTGTCGACATCATATTATACATACATTAACAAATTGTGTGGATTTTGTTTTATACACAGATGTGGTAGTAACATACATGTAGGTTGAATGTGTTGTGAGTAGTATGACTTCCTTACCAGCATTAGGGTATTCCCTACTCAGCAAGTCAGCTAATTATTCTTATTGAAGTTAGCAGGATGCTATCTCAACATAAATCAAAATATTTGTACTCAAAGTAATTTTGTAATGTACTTTTTTCATTTAGTGTGGCAAATAAAAAGAGAAATATTTCTGCAAGTGGAAACTGACAAGGACTGTCTAAATACCGGTGTATGTTGTTCTTAAAATCTGTGCTTGGTTATTTCATGCAATAAAAGTATTATTACCAAATACTTATTACATTAGATCATTATAAAGTACTTGTCTTAAATCCTGGGAGTAGTATGGGTGTGATAAAGCCTCAACATCCTTTTATAATAAGGATCTCTGTACAGAGCACAATGGGGTCATAGATGACCCCACTTGGTCATTTCAGTCAGTAAAATAGCTTGGTCTCTTGAGGGTTAAATCCTCTCTCGTCTGAGACATCGACGTGGATGACGTAGGGGTGGTCTGATACTGATAAGGGTGACGATATGAAAATATTGATTTTCTGCATACTTGTAAATTATTAAAACATCTCTTATTCAGGAATTCATACTTTTATTTAGGAAGTCATACTTTTATTAAGGAATTCATGCTTTTCAGACTAATGATTAGGATCATCCAGCCTCTGACTTGTTTTATTTATTATGTCATTTATCGTCACCACGTTCATATCAGCGGTGTGGCTATGATAGTGGAAGTCTGAAGTCGACTTTTTGAAATGATAACATCACAGTTATATTTTGCTGTGTTTGGACATAATAAGGTAATTTTGTCTAAGTACTGTGTATTTAAATTAGTTTTTCTTTATCAATAAAACTGATGTCCCAACTTTCTCGGAGTCGTTTCTTTTTTTCAGATAGATACTCTAGCTGTTTAAAGAGAAATGGAATACATTTTTATAATTGAATCTCACAAATAATTTCACAAATAAATGTGTAGCGGACCACGAGTAAATGAAGCAACACCATTGAATAATACTGCCGTTTATTTACGCAGTGTGAACAGAATCTGAACAGAAACTGAACAAAAATTGAACAGAAACTGGACAAAAACTGATGAAAAACTAAAACAATATCCAGACTCGCTTTCTCCGCTGCTAAACTGGCTGCTCAGATACGGCCATGATAATCTGAGCTGGTACTCCACTCTGCCAGTAAGTTATAAATGACCGCCGCAGAGCACATGCAACATTGGCTTTTATACAGTTGATCACATGACTAGATGAATAGATGTTACTTAATATTGAGCAGTGTTCTAGTTTCTTCTCTAACATAATATAAATAAACAAGAACAGCGTGGAAAATATAAAATAAAAATGATAACGTATATAATTTCTGCCGTGTCGGCAACAAAATGAATAAGAATTAAATAGAACGAGAGATAGAGTCACGTGTGACAGGGTTCACACAGCATACATAGATGAATAAGAAAATTCGCATTATTTTTAGTTACATTACAATTCTTACAGTGGTCGGTGGTCTGAGGCCCACTTTAATGTACTGAGAAATTAGTTAAATCATTTTATCATTTTTTCCACAAGAAAAATTCAACATGATGGCTACCGCGATGCGTTATAATTCGAAGCGAATCAATGTCAGTTTTTTCACTCTGGTTGCACCATTTGTATCAAACTGCATGAATACAACCAGTTATTGCTTGTACAGGCGGCGGAAATAAC